TCGCTTCATTTTCGAGGTTACATATATATATATATATATATAAGTGTCTTTACTTATAGGACCTTTGAAAGTACAAAAGACATTATGCACTTTCCCATAGGATCCCATGCAGGATAACAAAGATGTGTAGGAACCCTATAGATAGAGCTTGAAATTTCCGGTGACAGGACCTTGAATTTAGAAATACCTTCTTTTTCTCTGCCTTTCTGCTGTGTCTTTCTTTCCTCCCCATCCACACCCCACACCCCCACTTCACACACACGCACACACCCGGTGCATCAGCCCATTGCAAAGCTCAATTGTAATTGTTTCCTTTCAAAGGCAGAGATGGGTTCTGCTGGCTTGCAGAATAGGTCGCCTCTTTGCTGTATAACGTGTTTAAAAAAAAAAAAAAAAAAAAAAAAAGAGGACAATACAAAGGAAGGTTCGCCTGAGGAAAGAGATAAAAAAAAAAAAAAAAAAAAAAAAAGGTTAAAAACGGTCCAACTCCTCCTCTCCCCTTCCAAACGAAGGGCTACCCGGGAACCGCACAAATATCCATCCAACTCTGGTTTTAATCGTGTTCAGAAAGTAGCTAATCGCTATTCAAATGTGTGCGGAGAAGGGTTTGCTAAACTCCTCTTTTTTCCTTCTTCTTTTTTTTTGTTCTCCCAGAGAAAGTGTTCCAAGTTATAAAATATACAGTCTAAATCTGAAGTGTAAGACTTTCAAATTGAAATCATTGATAAATTTACTCCCTTTATATGTGCTTGAATGTGCTTGATGAGACGCTGCTTTGGTGTTTTACTGCATATGGGAGGATAATTTCTGGACATGTAAATAAAAGCATATTGCATGTGGTGAAAAGCATAATACCTCATTGTAGATGATGAATCGCCTAGTACAGAAGCAACTTATTCTTTATTTTAATATAAATAGGATCGAGAAAATATTCCTTAATTTGTCCATTCTATCTATCTATCTATCTATCTATCTACTCATCCATATACTAAAATAGCGGATATATGCACTATATAATTTGTATATTTGATCACTGTGCATCCACAGATATATGGTAAATGTATAAATATATGAGCAAACATGTATTTATATACCCTTTTATATAAATTGATCAGGTTTGTGTGTACACATGCATATGTAATGTGTAGAATATATGTGTCTACATATGTAGGAATATAGAGAATTTACATATATAAATGTGTCAATTTATATTTGTCTGTACACGGGAAAAGTTATGTTTTCTGTGATATATGTGTGTATGTGTGTGTAAATGTATGTCTGCGTATTTGCAACTGTGTATATTTATACATCTTTATATGCCTACATAGAAGTCTAAGTCTCTATATGTGTATATGCATATATCTAGTCACATATATGTCTGTAGATATATGTAACGATGTAATAGATAATGTTCTTTACTATCCGATTGAGCTAGAGTTCTGCAGCCTATTGTTTCAGACAACAGATATAAGTTGCGATGGAAGAGGAACGTCGGATTTGGTGTCTGTCCCCCATTTCCAATTATAGATGGATCATTACAGACAGAGAAGTACTGAGAATCCAGACATCTGCTCTTCACATGAATGCACTCACCTCCTAGAGAACAGCCTGCCATCATGCTCTGGAAACTGGTTGAAAATGTCAAGTATGAAGATATCTATGAGGTGAGTATATGATACGCATATGAGTAAGAGAGCATATGTATATTTAAATATATATAGTATATAGATACAGGCATGTCTATATAATACACGTATAGCTCTACATATACATACAGGCAGAAATAGAGACGCATACACCAACACACACAAGTATAGAGACGGGAAACCAAGAGTAAATGCTTAAATGTTTATTTATTTGCATCTTTGTATTCAGCATGCCAAGTCTTAAACTTTTTTTTCATGGAAAAGCTGTTTGATGCGATTTAAAACATCAAAGTAATGATCCGGGGGTTGGGATGAGGCAACTTATAGGCAAGAGTTTGGTTGTTTATACCTCCAATTAAATATAATTCGATTAAATATGGACATATGTCTAGGAAAAAAAGCTGAAAATAGGAGAGAAGCACAATCTGGTGTTCAGGGACCGGATACATTTCTTTCCTTTCTTTCTTTCTTTAATTTTTTAATTTTGCAATTCCAAGCTGGGCTAAAATTGAGTTATGATTTTTTTTCTTTTTCTTCTTTTCACAATCGGATACGTCTTTTGCGACTTTTTATACGTATATACCAATAGCTAAGATGTGCATGGATACATACACTCGCATTCATTAAGTGGCACATACATTCTTTCACGTCTGTGAGTACACGCACCCGAACTGATACATTCAAAGGCAGCTCTGCATAGTCCGCGGACATAAAAAGTTGTGTGCTTAAGTGAGACTTCTTCGCTATTTTCGAGGCCAAATAGCAGAGCAAAGGAGGTGGGGGTTGGGGGTGGGGGGGCGAAATCACAGCGCAAACACCGCGAAACCTTTCTTAATTTTGCACAGTTTCCTGAGCCGGATCTTTTCCAAACGGGCTCCGCGAATGCATTTCTTGTAAGTTAACCAGCGGGCTGGATTTGCTCCGAAGCTGGGAAAAAGACGTGTAAGGGAAGGCGCTCCGCAAAATTATATTTTAATATTTTTTGATTTCTTTTATTTTTAATTTTGTTTTTAATCTGTCAGAGGCATTTGCAATGCGATAGCGGGGGGGGGGTGGGGGGGTGGGGGGGGGTGGTGGTGAAGATTTTCAGATGGGCGCAATCCGCCAGCTCCAGCGCGGAGGCTGCTCCGTGGGGAGGTGGCCGGGCAAGGACCGGGGACAGGGCAGAAGCCAGATTCCGGGCAGAGACCGGCTACTGAGTAGAGGCAGGGCGGAGACCGAGGACAGGGCAGTAGCAGGGACCCGGTAGGGCCAGAGCCAGTTACTAGGCTGCGGACTGGGCAAGGCTCGGTACCCGGCAGGGGACAGGGACTTGGCAGGCTGGAAGCCGGATACTGGGCTGGGCGTCGGGCAAGAATAGTGGATCAGGCAGGAGCCGGGGACAGGGAAGCGGTCAGTTACAAGGCTGGGTACCTTGAAGGGGCCGGGCAGGAGCCGAGGACTGGGCACGAGCCAGGGGCGGGGCAGAGCAGCGGCCGGGGACCGGGCAGGAGGCCGGGGACCTGCGGGGAGTACGCCCGGGATAGCGCCGTCGGGGCCCCGCCGGCCCCAGCCCGTCGCTCCGCCGCAGCTCTCCCATCCGGGAGCTCGCTCACACTTACAGCAGGGAAACTCGCGGGCAAAGCAGAGAAGGCGGCAGAGGGAGGGCATGGCTCCCACAGCAGCAGCCAGGGAGGGCGGACAGGACGGAGGGGAGAGGGAGAGCGGCAGCCTGCGCAACCGGAGAAACGTTTCCATTCCCAAAAGCTGCCGTCAGGCTGTCAATTGGCAAACCCCAGTTTGCCAGAATGAGCACAGCCCGGCATGTGTATTTCTGCCCGTGTGTGTGTGCGTGCGTCCGTCCCGCCGGCAATCGCAGTCCGCTGAGCCCTCGCTTCTTTTCCCTCTCCATCTCCCGGCACAGCCCGGCCATTGTCTCTGCCTGCCCACAGCACCAAGCGACAAAACATCTCCCCTTCCCTGCTTCGCGGGGTTTTATTTCCCACCCTCCTTTGGAAGGGGATTTTGAAGCCGTTGCGCATTTTACGGACACTCGTATTTCTAGACTGCCGTGGAAGAGAAGCTGAGTTGGGGAGCTGTTGGGTGGGATTTGGCTGTGGGCAGGGTATACCCGGACTTGGAGTGCGCCCTAAGACATTTTGTAACGTGTAGCTTTAAAAAATGAAGACAAAATATTGTTACTATTTTATTTTTAGAGCTGAAGTCCTCTAGGTCTGTCTTTTTTAAAGAAAAAAACGTTTCTTTTCTTTCCCATTAAATTCTTGCTTTCTTTTTACAATTTATAATTAACGTAGGGGAGTCTCAGCTGCTTAAACTGACTCTGTTCTTAAAACAGAAGTGTGTGTATGTGTGTGAGCAGCGGGGGGGGGGGGGGGGGGGTGCTCTGGGAAGTGCGAGTCTATTTAGGAAGGAACGTAAAGTTGAACTTTAACAGAAATGGCAGACAGTCCAGTTGAACGGGTTCCTGCAACACCAAAAAGGTTTGATATCGCCTCTGGCTTTGCCTCACAACTATAAATTTACCATCCTTTAAAAATCACTGCAAACATTTCACATTTGGGTGAAAATCTGGACGTATACGTGCATATATTTTTATTTATTTTTCGTATCGGGAAGGGAGGAACAGGATTCAGAAAGAAGTGAAGCCCAGCTTAGTGCAGATTAGTTTATTTATTTGGCTATTGTGAATAAATACGACCTGTAACATGCACCAGAAGGGCTTTATCTTAGCTGTAGACATATGTTATAGAGACTGCACACTTCTTCCATTTCTTTGAAAAAACAAGGAAAGTGAAGGTTTGGGAAAGCCTGGTTCTCCTCGCTATTTGTTTAAAAAAGAAAAAAAAAACACCAAAACCACAAACAAAAAAACAAATTTACAAGAACAAAAGCATCGAAGGCAAACAATTCCTCGTATTAGGAATGTATAATTAAATGTAAAAAAAAAGTAAAAGAAAATATGGGGGTTTTCTTATTTTTTCTTCGCCTCTAGCATTGTTTCCTCTCACTTCCCCGCTCCAGCCCCCCAGTTCCTACTTTCCGCATCTTCCTCCTCTCGAGTTCATTGAAGTTATGCCTCTTTCTTGCTAAACTTTTCCCCCCCTCTCCCTCTCCCCAACCCCTGCTTCTGCCAGCCCCCCTCGTCTGATTACATCTAGTAATTCTCCACTGAATGAACGTCATTTACAATAGTAGGGGAGCTCTCGAGCTGGCTGCCAGCTTCACGCTCCATTTGGTCCTGCATTCTCCCTTTAAAGTAGTCGTGTAATATTAATAGTCATGAATATCAATTATTATGAGGCGGTGTAGAGAAGGAAAGGGAGGAAGGGGTAGCGGAGCAGTCTGAGCCTAGCCTTGGGTTGAAGAGGATTGTATTTGGGAGCTCAAAGGGGAAAAAAAGGGGGGGGGGGAAACCCCAAAGAGGGAGGGGTAAATCATATATGCAGATAGAGGTTTCCAGGCTCGGTTTGGGGGGGCATTGATCCTTTTTTTTTTCTTTTTTTTTCCTTTTTTTTTTTTTTTGATGGATAGACTTCGAAGTATCTCAAGCTGTTCTCCTGTGTCCAACACGGCCCTTTGCAGATCTCCTTGATATTTTTTCCCCCCTTCAATTATTAGCACTACTACCATTATTTTCTTTTTAGCTATCACAAGACTTTTTTTATTTCCAGATGTTAGTCCACACCTATTCCGCCATGGTGAGTTTGGATCCATGTTGTACTAGAATTGCATGTTCTCTCTCTCGATCTGTTGTCTCTCTCCCTCTCTCTCTCTTTTTAAACGCCTTTGGCTTAGTAATTTAGCACAATAATTGGAGGAGGCTTGCAGCTGCTTCTCCGTTTTTGCATTGTGTGTTCTCGATTTGAGCAAGCGGAGTCTGGGGGGGGAGAGCAGGGAAAAAAAAACACAACTTTTTTCTTCCTTTTTTTTTTTTTTTTTTCCTAGCGATGTGTGCCATTGCTTGTGGGGGTTTGAGCTACACTTTGTGGAATAGATATTTTTCTTGTTTACTTTTAGCCTCGCAGCTTCAGCTCTATGGAGTTGAAAAAAACTCTTCTCCCACCTTTTCTCCGAAGCCTCCACACCCCACCAACCCCCCCTTCCCAGCCCCCCACACACCCCAAAGACTTTTCATTACAATTGACCCCCACCCCATTTTCCGGAATATAATATTGGGAAAGGAGACAAAAGACATTGGAAATAGCTGGAGAAATCAGAAATCACAGCGACTGGATTTGTTCAATGACGATGTTTCTTTTTTAATGCTTTTTTATGATTTTTTTTTTTTAGGGAGTGGACTCTATATAAAAAGCCCCCATGATTTTTTTTTATTTTTTTTTTTCCCAAGTGTTTTTTCGCACAACTTCTTTCCTCGGAGTCCTCCGAGAAGTGCAGCTTTCTTTTTGGTCTTTTCCAAGTGAAGATGGGTTGGTGATTTTGAGTTTCACGACTTCAGCAGTGGGAACAAACAGATGTTTGGAAACTTTAGGCAGGACAAGGGGTGGGCTGTTTGGAAGGATGGGTGGTTTGGGGTTCTCAATATTCTTAATTTATTTTTAAAATTTGGGTTTTATTTGAGGAGATGCTGGAGGGGGAATCATATTACTGGACTGAAGTCACGAATCATAACTGCATATGGAACACTCGTTCTACATTTTTAATTACGACATTTAGTATTTCTCCCTCAGACAGATCCCCCTTCCCCCTCCTTGATACTTACTGGGAACAGATACGGTCTGGGTGGGAAATGCTGGGACACTCCTAATCCTTGGCAGAGGAAAGAAGGGACATACCTGAAACCTGGTTTACAGCTGGTTGTATTTATAATTTGTTTTATTTTGGGGTGGGATTGTGCTTCTTTTACTTTTTTTTATATTATTATTTTTTAAAAGTCCTCTCTTTTGTGTTGCTTTTATTTCATTCTGCTCGTAGGACCGGCATGATGGAGTGCCCAGCCACAGTTCCAGGTTGTCCCAGCTGGGATCCGTCTCCCAGGGACCCTACTCCAGCGCTCCTCCGCTCTCTCACACCCCATCCTCGGATTTCCAGCCGCCTTACTTCCCACCCCCCTACCAGCCTCTTCCTTACCACCAAAGCCAGGACCCTTACTCCCATGTCAATGACCCCTACTCCCTAAACCCCCTGCATCAACCCCAGCAGCATCCCTGGGGCCAGAGGCAGAGGCAAGACGTGGGATCGGAGACAGGGTCACTGTTGCCGCAGCCTCGGGCCGCCCTGCCCCAGCTCTCAGGCCTGGATCCCAGGCGGGACTACCACTCCGTGAGGAGGCCAGATGTCCTGCTCCACTCAGCTCACCATGGCCTTGACTCCGGGATGGGGGACAGCCTTGCCCTGCACGGCATCGGGCACCCAGGGATGGAGGAGGTCCAGGTAAGGCTCCGCGTTGCGTTCTCCTGGGCCATGCAGATGCCTCCCAGGCTAGAGCCCCCATCTCTCGGCTATAAATCATCAACGAGGGGCTTACAGGGATACCGGTGCAGGCTGCCATCCTTTTTCCTTGCTGGGGTTATAATCCAGCTACTCCCCGTCCTTCACCTTCTTTTTATTATTATTATTAAGTATTAGTATTATAGAGAGAGAATTTATTTCACTGTTATCACGCACTTGCTCTGCTTTGCAAACTAAACCTTACCCTGCAAACAGAGTGCAGGGGAAGGCAGACATACTTTAAATATTCCACGTGTTTCAAAAGCTGGCAAAGTTTAAACCTGGCTTTTCAAATTCAGGTTATTTTCCATGCAATATCAGTTTACCCTCACCCTTAACCACCCCAACCAATTTCCTGCCGTTCAAGGATTTTGATGAAACTGTCCAATTACTGCATTTTTCATCCGGGAGGGAAAACACAAACAAAATCCAAACTAAAAGCAATAACCGGTCATCAGGAACAAGACTTGAAACACTCACTCTCCACACCCACCCCCCCTCTTTTTTTTTTAAGCATAATTGGTAGGGTAGCGCTGATTTTAAATAGTTTGATTCCCTCTTTGGGGTAACAAAAGTTTCAGCGGGCTTAAAGCACAGTATTTCTCAGCCATCTTCCATCCCACGCGAAACTCATCAGCACGTGTTATTTCCTAAAAAAAAATATATATATATATATATATACACAACCCCAAACAGACCCACAAAGGCCCTTAACAGCTTCGATACTAGTAGGTGGGGGGAAGGGTTTGCACCTTGGTGGAGCAGGGTATGGCCAAAGAGGGGAATTCCGAGCCGGAGGAACTCAGGGGCCAGTTCCTGTATTAGGCTTTGCTAGTAGGGATTTGGGGGTTCCCCTCCATTCTTCACCTCCCTCCTCCCCAAATTTAGGTATCATATATATGCATATATACACTTGGGATAAGCAAACGCTGGATGAGATACGAGCTTCAAAGTTAGAGAAACGGGAAAAGAAAGGGGGAAAGAAAGGAGAAAAGAGGAGTCTGAGAAGGTAAAACCAGCCGTGAAAAGGATCCTGCTGAACATGACAAGGACAGCAGGAGAGGGGTGGCTAGTTGCATTGGCTTGAACACGGTTTTAGGACGTCAGGGGAAAATCTCTGCTATTTGCTGGGGCGAAGTGCTTTAGAAATAGAAAGATTTCGGCTTTGCTTCTGTCTCCGAGATCGTCAAGTCGCTGGTTTCTGCGGGTTTCCAGGCGGGTTTTGAGAGCAGAGGGCATCCCCCCCTCCCTGGGGCTCGTCTTCCAACCTCGGCTCAACCAAACCGCCTTGGGGGTCAAGTCGAGCTTTACCTCTGTGAACATGTCTATCTTTCTCTGGATAGACGTTAAGTACTGTTTGTGCTTTTGTATTTACACTTTCCCCAAAGAAAAGATGGTGATTGTTGTGCTCTTGTGAGAAAGAAAGAGATGAGGGGAGGAAAGGGAGAAGAGGTAAAAAATATAAGAGGTGGAAGAAACGAAACGAGAGAGAAAGAGGGGGAAAAGAGAAGGGGGAGGAAAAGACAGAAAGAAGCAAGGGGGAGAGAGGGGGAAAGGGGAAAAGGTGGGGAGAGACAGGGAAAGAAAGAAAGGGACAGAGCCAGTGAGAAAAGAGAGAGAAGAGACAAAGGGTAGGGGAGCGGAAGAGATGAAGAGGAAAAACAAGAGAGAAATATAAAACATGGAGAGAGAGGAAGGGGGTGAGAGAGACACCGAGAGACAGAGAGAAAGCGAAAAAGAGAGAAGAAAAGGTCCTACTCAGCTCAAATAAAATAGCTCTCCTTCCCTTTTCCAGTAAAACATTCCCGCTACGGGCAGGGCTCAGCACCCGTGGAAAGTGCCTCCCCCGGCCCCCGCCAGCCCGGGCAGGTGATCAGCCTGGGATCGGTGTGAAAAAGGGATGGAATGAGGATAGGGATGGGACTGGGCCGGGGCAGATGTGGCCATGGGCCAGCAGGCATGGGGTTCTTGTTTTGGGGTTCTGAGGCTGCTGGAAATCAAACAGGCCCTTTATTTCTGAAAGTTTGGTCTCAGGCCGGGGGAGGAGGGGAAGAGGAGAGGAGAGTGTCCCAAGGAGAAACACGTGAAGGAAGAAGTGTCCAACTACAAGTTAGCACAGGCAGGAGGGAAAGCAGCCTGGTACTCGTTCCTACCATTCAGCACTTTCTATTCTTGTCTCCTAGTGGCAGATGAACCTGGGCAGTTTTCCAACCTGATTTTTAATATGGATTTATTGTAGAGCCAAGGAATCCGTTCTAGGGATTTTAAATATGAATCTACAGGGATTCCTGTTCAGGCGATATTTACTTATTTTCCACGAACACGAGAGAGAATTTCCAAGAAGGGTCTCAAATAGCTATTTGGTTTAGTTTTGTGGTGTTTTTTTTTTCTTTTAAGTAGTCCAAAAAGTTGAACCGATATCTAGGTATATAGCTGGATAAAGATGTGTCTCTTTGCTTTAGCTTATAAGTGTCTGATCAAATACATGCCATGGGAATGGGCTGGGCTGACAAGGGAGCATGAAACAGAAAGAAAGGCAGTGCGTGACAGAAAGAAACAGTGGTTATTTTACAAAAGCCAAACTCAGGGCATGTGTGAGCCATTGTCCAGAGCTGAAATTAAGTGATTGTAACATGATAGCGCTCTGTTATTGTAAACAGGACGTATTGTAATGCTATTGCTGCTCCTTCCGACGAGCATTTTCAAACTGCAAATTACAGCCCTCTCATAGGGAACAGAGAAGCCAAGACCTAGCCATTGAAAACAAATTTGCGTCATCTAAAAGGGACTCTGAAAACAAACAACCCCCAAACGCTGCAACTTCAGATATTCTCACTCACACCAGCTAAGCAAAAGAAAGATTATACTAGTAAGAGATACAATAAAGAAAATATGGAGGGGATATTCAGGCTCTTTAAAGGGAAACAAGAAGATTTTTTTTTCCTCTGATATATTCTTTGCTGTTGAATCAGGTGGATATATATGGCATTTAGGAAGCTCTGTGCTATCAGATTATTGGAGGAAGGAAGGGAGGGGATCTTCCTCTCGAGATTTTCTAAATCTATCTGGAAACTCATCACCTTTCCCCTCCCCACACACACCTTCACTCCTCCTCCCTCACACTGCCGCCCCTGTTTCTACGTGCTAGCTAGAGAAACGGAGAGCTAAGTTGCGCCAAAACACCGAAGTCTCTTATAAAGTAACCCCTGGTATCACTTTTAACTAAAGAAGTCTAGTAATTAAAAGTCTGAGTTGTTTTTCCACGTTTCCGCATGCAGTCCTAATTAAATCTTTACGATCCTCTCTGTGACTATTAACTGCCAGCATGCTGAGCGAATATCCTGTACAAAAACCCAGCAGGAGGGCGTAATTAGATAGAAAATCAGACAGGAGTCTTCTCATTAACTACAACAACTAACCCACGTTGCTGATGGAGCGAGCGGAGCGCACGCACAGGCATAAAGCGTGGGCACAACCATCTACTCCAGAGATAAGGTGAGATAAGGAGTTTAAAAAAAAATTAAAAAATAAAAAAAGGGAAGGAAAGATGTTGTTTCATATTTACCTCCAATTCTGTGCCGTGGAGGTGCACCGTGATGCACGGTTTGCTCATCATCCCTCTTTGGGAGCTGTTCAGGGAAAGGAAGGAAGACTGTAATTTTATTTTGTGCCCTTTAGGTATGTAGCCTATTGATTATGAGAGAAAGACACAGCCATGCACAAACACACAACAGAAGGAACCGCTCTGTGTGTGCGCACCCGCTTGAGTGTGTATGCAAGGAAAATGAAAGGAAAAATCTCATAGAAAATATTGTTCCGTCAAATTTTAGGGGAGATGCAATTTTGTCCTAAATCATATTCCGTCTTAAATATCTGCTAATCAGAGAGAGCTGGAGATAAGGGCTTGATCCGGATAATCTCAGCCTCTCGTGGTAGCAAAGATAGTTAAAATAATAGCGAAGAAAATAATGGCTTTTCTGTGAAGATGTTTTCTTTATCAGGAAAAAAAAAAAACAAATGACAACTCCCCAGATAACTTGGGCAAAAAAAAAAAAAAAAAAAAAGCCCTCAAACCTTAAATAGTAATAAAGAAAATAAAATAAACCCAAGAAACCCTTTCTCGAATGCCCAGAATTTACCCTAAAACGGAACGTGCCATAACCCTGCAATAAACTGCTCTGATGACACCTCTTTAGATTTTTTTTTTTTTCTGTACCGACAGCAGATCCAGCGGTAATTTTGGTTTGTTTATTCGTTGTTGAGTGGCTTTTTTTGGTGGTGTTTTTGTTTGGTTTGTTGGTTGTTTTTTTTGTGTGTGTATCCCACGTTGGTGTTGAGAAATGAAACCCCACATTTTCTGTGTCCTCTGGGCCCTTCTTTGTTCTCTTCCCTGCTAAAGAAGTTAATGCCGTAATAACAGGTGTGCTCTTATACGGGCTGAAAAGAAAGGGGAAAGAAAGGGCGGGGGGGGGAGGGGGGCCGAGATGGTGTGAAGGGGGATGGGGTGGAGGAAAGGCTTGGAAAAGAGATAGGGAGACTTTTTCTAGGCAATTTCATAGTTCCTTCTTTTTCCTTCTTTTGATAATGTATATTCCTCCTCACCTCTCCCCATTAATTCAGGAGCTGGAAATCTTCTGCTCCTGCCCCTGACCATGGGGGCGGATGGCTCCGGCTTTAATTAAAAGTCCATAATATAAACTATTGTATATAAAAAGTAAATGGCCCTCGAATTATTAAGATGTAACAAGGTTAAACAAACAAAGCACACACAAACATAAAAAAAAAGTTGAGGGGGGGGGAGGGAGGAAAGGAGAGGGAAATTTTAAGTTGTCCTTAATCGTGTTCATTTCTGTCATGCGATGGATCTTGCAGACGTTACCGAATTGCCAGATTTTCAAAGGAAGAAATATAAAGCTTTGCCGAATGCAAGGAAGTCTATGTGATTTCTGTGTTTTATAAGATAACAAACCCAGTATTTCATCTCATGTGCTTCACACCTTATTATTATTATTATTAATTATACATACTATATTATACTATATAATTTGTAAGAATTTTGTTTCCTTTTCGATTTGGAGGAATAATGATAACAATAATAAGAATGATTAAGAAATCCCTCCTCCCCCAGTGAATTAATATAAATGGAAATAACAGAAACTTCAGTTTGGAATGACATGATTTATGTACGTGATTCTTTAATATACAGTCAATTTGAATAGTGATGTTTTTATATCCACAGTCAGTTGAAGATGCCAATAACAGCGGTATGAACTTATTGGACCAGTCTGTCATTAAAAAAGGTATGGATTATTCCAACAGGCTAGACGAACTTGTACTTTGTAGCAAAATCTTCAGGCTATCTTTTTACTTTGGGACAATAATTTATCCCAATAAATATATAAATATATAAATATAGATGGCAGCAAGGTGTATAGTTGGTTGGATCGGCAGATAGAGTGAAGGGGAAAGGGAAGATCTGTGAAAGGAAAAGTTTATATTCCCACCTTCCCCCTCCTTAAAGGGTTTAATTACCCAAATGTCCCTAATGGAGCACCCCATGTTCAAATGCAGTTTCGGCGTGGGGGGTGGGGGGGTGCTTATCTTTTAACGGGAAAAGAGGGCTGATTCCCTTTGGGGTTGAAATGTATTTCCCAGGCCAATAAAAAATGAAGGGGAGAAAAAGAAATACTTATGGAAAAACAGCCTCGACCTTCTTTCCCCCTTCTTCCAAGAATCCCCCCCTTTCCTATGCCCATTTCGTAAATCTCCCTACATACGCGCACATGATTTAGTGTAACTGCAGAATCACCCCATACTGTTAAAGGGAATGTGATATTAACAAATGTTTGCAGTCTCGTGTACAGCTGTAAGCAAAATAATTAACTAATTAAACTAATTAAATGTAATTACAATAACTCATTTCGGGCGTATTGCAGCTGCTTAATTTTTTTACATTTCTCTGACAGTCACTCGAGGATGCTTGGCGGCTAGTGTTGTGTTATGCTGATAGACATTAAACAGATCACACGCTGCAAATGTAGGGAAAGCTATCTTTAATTATCTAAGGAGTTTCTATTTCTAAATTCAATTTTAAGTACCAGAGATGAGCCTTAGAAATGCTGTCTCTTATGCTTACTGTCAGCAGTACTTACTTCTTATTTGTCAAATGCGCACAAATACTTTAATAGGGATGATCTTCTAAAATGTAAAGGAAAATAACAGGGAGAGTGTTTATTTAAAATGTATTTAAGGCAGCATGAGGTCCTTCCTTGTATTTATTGTTGTTTTTTTTTTTTAAATCCTCGTGTACAGTCCCTCTCTTGCACACGCACACGATCAAGGTCTGGTTATTTGAGCGAGGAGAGGTGAAAATTTGAAGAGCATTTGGTAGCATTATTTAGGACCATCGGTTGAAAAGTCGAAGGTGGTTTTGAGAAATAAAAAATTACTCGCCTTTGGGTTTTAATACATATAGTGAAAAGTTGTTTCTTCTGGTTTAGTGCAGTTTGAATGTTCAGTCGGTTTTGTGCTCAGGGTCTGTAATCCGATGGCTTTTGCTTGTATTATCTTCCGCCCCCCACCCCGCTCTCCTCCTCTCTCTTTCCCTCCCCACCCCCGCTTAACACCTCATACCTGTTTCCTCTTGGGTGTATTTGATTAATTGGTGCTTGATTTGTGGCGGAGAGGCTCCTTCCTAGCGTTGCTCCCTTTTAGTATATTCCTTTCACAATCTGTTTTTCCGCAGAACACTTTTTCTGTTGATCACCCTGGCCAAAATACTCTTTTTTTTTAATATATATATATATATATATAAAACCACTCGACCCCACTTCTGTGTCTCTCCTTCCTTCAGGGACAGCAGAGACTGAACGCGCATGCTGGGCGGTACAGTTAGATAGCGAGTAGCACTAAAATGTGAGTATTAGTAACTATATCTCTTAGGTGTAGATACAGGGGTGCTTAATGTGTATGGGCATTGCATAAGCTCCAGGCCGAGCAGCTGCGGCATAATCCCATATAGGTGCGACTACATGCGCCTGTGTGCAGCCATAAGAAGAGATACCTTGAGTTGATTCATGGTGAACAGGATAGGTATGCACTTTGGCAATGTTATGAAACAAAGATCCTGAGGTCTGTTTTAAAGTCACTTTAGCAGTATTTTCTTCCTCAGATGTAATGCTGAAACTTAAGAAGCTTCTCAGCATAAAGGAATATTGGGAGTACAGTTGCATTTTGCACAGGGTGTTTCGTGGGTACGGAGGAAGAGAAATGAGTACTAAATAGTAGGTCACGTTTGTGGCAGACAATATTTAATCAGGACGAGAGAAGGAGCTACACAGACAGGGTCCAGTATCGATTTCGCCTTGTTCTTGCAGTTTGTTGCTGTGATGATGTCCTTCGAAGCAAGAATAAGTTGTTGAAACTCTCAAAGCTGTTATTGCAAGCAGATGGACAGATACGTAGAGACTGGATTTGGGGCTGTGGAGCACTCCCCGTGATACAGATTTGATAGACAAGGGTTAGAGTGGGACTGTTTCACCTAAACCTAAAACACTTTAATTAAGATGTATTTGAAAAAAAGTATAATGTGGACCTGATATCTGAACCATGCAGATTGTGTTTGTTTCTTCATAGCCTTGGAAGTCTGCAGAAGGAATTACCTATCTATGCAAAAGTATTGCCAAAATATTAAGGAAATTACACAGGGATTCATACGCGGCTATCGATTTATCCCGCCTATCGATCCCGCACAACAGATTATATACACCCAGCCTCTTGTTATGTTTGCTATCTGAGCTTACTTGACATTTCTGAAGTAATTTAGTTAAGAGGAAATGAGTTGCTCCCAGTAGAGAGAGCAAACGAGTGGAGTGAAGGTAGCCAGCGTGATAAATGGCTCTTTCATTTGGAGATCTCCAGAGCTCGTTTAAGGCTAATTTTCTGTATTAGCCCCCTTTGAGCTATTAATGCAATAGGCAGGGACCGTGGCCCCTCGGCTCTTAGCTGCCCCATTAGAGCGAGCATTAAGCTACCAAGCCTGAACTCTGCTGTGGTGGTGGTGGAGCAATGAAAGGTGCTTTTTAAACTCTCCTAATCTAAACTGGCAGAGGGTGGTTAATACGATTTGAAGGGGGCTGGTCAATGAACAATCAATAAACTAATAATGAGAAGGATGTGGTACATTAACAGTAAAAAAAAAAATCCAACGAGACGTTTAAAAATCATCGTTAACTCTTAGTTCCATTAAAATTTGGGTGGTGGAAGTGGGCGGGAGGGAGCCAGATAAATCATCGAGATGATAATAATCACCAAGAGCATTAATATCAGATTTAACTCGGCTTTAAGAGTTCACCAGCTGCACGTTTCGAGGTCTTTCCTTCGATCCCTGTTGAAATACAGAGAGATTTTATGTAAATCAGGAATTAAAAAGCGGGTCCTCTTGTCACCTGTTCTTTTGGGATGTCCTTTCACCGGCTATGGCCAAAGAAGTTCTCCTCCTGAAAAATCCACGTGACCAGAGCCCTGAGTTAAATTTTTGTGACTCTGGGGCATAGCCAGTGACCTTAAAATTATTCTGATGTATTTATTTACTTTCAGCGGTTTCTGCCAATCGCCAGCACACACCTGATTTAGCATGAAAGGCCACTTAACCCTAACACCTTCATTCTCTGTGTCCTTGCAAACAGGCTCTGGTCTTACCATTTCTTTTAAGAAATACATGAAAGGATGTGTCTTAACCTTGAAAACCCCAAACAACCTAATAATACAACGTGAGATTACTCCCCACTTCTTCTTGAAGCATCCAGATAAATGATTAACTGAAAACCTCTCTGGCCTCAGCTTTGTAGGTGATAGACCTGGGAATGAGAGATGTTGCTTCGCTGCCGGTTTCGTGCTTATTCCTGGATTGCCCACTGAACCTTATGATCACCTTTAGTTGAATGCAAAACAGTTTTGAGGGGATACCTTTCGCTCGGAAATTTAGTCCCGGTTTTCAGGGAAAAAAGGACCTCGGTGGAGGAGAAGAGAGGGGAGGTGGGAATGGAGGAGGTGAAAGGGACCGGAGGGAAAGGGACAGTAACACGCTTTCTCAAATTGTTCATTAGAATTAAAATAACAGTCGGGTCTTTTGGTGGCAGTGGGTAGGACTGTCTCCGGACTTTCTTGGTTGGCTACCAAGTCAGACCAAATCAAGTTGCAACAAAGTCCTGTTGTTATAATGGACAAAGAACTTTTTACTGATTTCAATTTGCCCAGTAGGCAGATCTAAAAAAAAAAAAAAAAATCTGTTTGATAGCTCAACAGCAAAATAGCAAGAAGTTTGTCTATGACGTTTGTTAGTAAGAAATATAAGAAATATTTATTCGGATTGATTGTTTGATTGACTGACAGGTGATCATATTATTGACTGGGGTTATTGCAACGATATCCATAGAGTAGAGCCTTGTTACTCAACTATTTTCAGGGCATTATTTTATCTATTAATATTTATTTGTTCTATTTATTTTTTGCTTTTTTCTATTTATTTGTTTATTTTTAGTGCTCCCCAAATGCCCTTTTATTTCCATTTCCACTTCCGCGTCTGCACTGGTGCCCATTTTTTATGCTTTTGTGAAAAGCAACCCAACAGAGAATCACCATCAACAACAAAAAAACCCACCCGACCAAAACAAAAAAAAACAAAACAAAACAAAACAAAAAACCAACCCGCAAGACTTAATGTATGCACAGAAAATTGTAAACATGTAAAGAACTGAAAGCTTCACGCTGAGTTTCGCCATGCTCCATTTCCCCACCATTTCCTGCTGTCGTTTTAAAGCGATCTCACTCATCTAGAGATCCCGTTTGCAGGAACAGTGTGCTTATAATTACTAACAAATCAAGCGGGTACTGTTGCTCTCCCGGTTTATTGATAAGCTGAAGAGAAATGGAAGGGGGAGAAATGACAAAGAGGCTGGAAGCAACCACAGGAGGAAAAAAAAATAAAAATCGAGAAAAGGGATAGAAAAGAAGGAGGAGAGAAAAACAGACAGAGAAAGAAAGAAAAAGAAAAGGCGGGGATTTTGGAAAGGGGAATTATGCAATTGTGAGTGCTCACATACAGCAAATAGAGTTTGTGAGGGAAAGAAAATGTAATGGCTTCTGCTGTGGATAACAAGAACTAAAAGGCATAAAGTTAAGGCAGAAGTGCTGGGGATGCTGTGTACACGTGTGTGTTACTCTGATTATTTCAGTTCTCGCAATCCCTAGCCAAAGAGTAAAGTTGACATGGGCTGCAAATATATTCTGCATTACACTTTATTTACATATATTCAGGGATTTGACACTTGCAGCTGCTCACACGGACATGTATGTCTCTTCATCCACTAAAACCTCCACATTTTAGTATCTCTTGTAATGTCTGGGCTCTATCTGAAAAGCTATAGCCATGATAAACACATAGATGCGATATAGATAGAGATAATTCATTCCATGGCAAACACTTCTTTTGAGGCAACATTAGGTAATTTACAGAAGATATAGAGTCTAGATAGAATACATCTCTCTGAAGCTATGAAATTGCAATAGATATGCTTACACCGCCTGGTAAGCTTCTAAAATTTAGAGTTCTTAGAGTCCAAGTGATGGGTATATTCATACTGTCCTTTTGGGAGAGGCAGGGGTAGGGAGAAAACCTGAGGAGTTATCAGCATAGTGGGGGAGGGAGCCAAGGCAGTCTGCTTCCCAAAAGCAATTTGCAAGGGAAAAAACAAAACAAAACAAAACAAAAAACCCACAAAAACCTGAGCACGTGAAAATCCATATTTCAAAGGTTAACTAATGTAATGAGCACTCCAAAAGGGCAGAGCAAGGCGGGGAGCAAAGCACATTTCGCCATTGCACGGGTCCCTCGCTCTTTAGTGAGTTTGGACTAAGATCAGATGTTCGTGGAATTGCTGCCTCTTGTTTAATTTTTCAGTTCACTGGACAGCGACCTGATAAACTGGTGACTAAATATAGCCACTGTAAAGGTGTACTGGAACCACTGAGCCCATGTGTTGGGCCAAGAGGAAAATGCCACTCATGAAATCTGTCTGGTGGCACTGCTTTACTTGTTGTTGTTGTTTTCTTTTTCATTTATTTATTTATTTGTTAGTTTTTCTTGATGCTTCACTAGAACGACATTGCAGAACATCATGCATGAAACAAGTGATATGTCTATGTATAACACGGGGGTGGGGAGGGATTTGGGTTTTGGCTACCAGAGCTGCCTCTGAGACTCCAAATGAGTCTTTTCCCTTAGAATCAATATCAATCAGCCTCCCCCCTCCTGCGACTAATAGCAATGAAAGCAGGAGTGGCCGCTAACTCTTTTATAACTATTTCTGTGCCGTTTTCAAACTACTTGAAACTGCCTTTATGAGCTGTATAAAGTGCCTAACTAAAAATAATAGAGAAATAGGAATACATCTCACTTTCTGATTCCCTGAAGTAAAGCCACTCAAAATAATTTGTTTATACTGTAGACTATATACAAGGCATACAAAGCAATGTGTATGTCTAAAATCGACATGCCTTTTAGTTTTTAGCTGTTATGGAGCTTTTATTGTGGGGGTCTGGTCTGGCAATAGGAAATGATCTGTAATAAAAACAGTGAAACACGGTTGTGTCTATTCCATACAGTGAGGTTATAAAATTGGCAATTGCCCAGTAGTTAGCACTTTGTAATATATTAGGATACCCGATCTTATTGTTTAGCAGCTCCAGACGACTTAAATATCCGCTCAACCCTAATGGTTTGATTCTCCAGCTATGTTGCAAATAAACAGGGTTTTTATGACTTAACTGACATGTATTATAACTACCTAAATAGCTGGCATATGTGCATAATAGAACCCTATTATTTGCCGAATTGGTTTTGTAATTGATTGAGTGGAAATAGGAGACTGTGGAGCAGCATCTACTCGATGAGGGTATGTAATCAATTAGTTTTCTCCCCTGAAAGATGCCCGCTGGACTGTCAGGATTCTACCACCAGCAACTCTCCTAATTTTGGAGTGTATTTTCTATAGAAAGGCATGTTGCAGTGATTCCGAAAGGAAGCGGCAGTAGCAGCTGTCAGCTCTTATTAACTCCTGCATAAAACATACCTTAAGTACGGTTTGTTATCAATTACTTGCAGAAATGAAACAACTGGGGAAAATGCAGCGAGGCTCCCTATAAATTAAAGCGATTGGCTGATTGATTAGAGCATCTGCTGTAAATCATCACACTTACCCACAATTATGAGGGAGCTATTTCAGTTCATTCATAAACAAAATTTGGTCACAGGGGAAATGCGCTCATTTCTGGTTTAGCCAGTTTTTGTTGTTGTTATTTATTTCTGAGTATGTATGGTTGCTTTTATAGGAATTTATTTGTTATAATCCCCTTGGTAACTTTCAAAATAACCTCACTGGTTTCTCAGAGAAAATAAATACTTCTTTTTTTTTTTTTTTATCGTGGACAGAATAGCATGTTTTAATTTTGCTTAGTTTTGCTTTATTGTTTTCTTTTGATCTTTTTCCCCCATAACTGCCTTCATAGGTGTTACCTATATCCGTAGTTACACATAACTACCTAAATATGTGTTACAGTAACTAGATCAGCTTTATTTAGGGGCAGGAGAGTTCCTATTACTTCACGGACAGCACAATATGATCAAGGTGGAGAATGCCATGGTTAGACTAGATTTCTGGTGGATTTTTTTTTTTCTGGTGTTCTTTTTTTCTGAAAAAAAAAAAAGACTCATTTTATTTCATAAACCAGAGTTAATAAAAACACAAAGCAATAACAGAGCTATCTTCTGGTTGCTGTATCCTCCAGCCTTGATACTTATTTAAGACAGCAACTCCCTTCGTGTAGTGAATTTATTCCTGGCTCAGCTTAGCAGTAATGGAAACATTAGCAAAAAAAAGTAAATTTTCCTTTTTTTTTCCCCTCCAGAAAGGCGCTGTCCGTTGTACAAAAGGCATCGGGGGGCTCTGGGTGAGACACAGGCTCAAACCCGAAAGTTGCCAGGTGCTTGCCAATATGTATTTTATTTCCCAATGATCAAACCCTGCATAGAGGCTGTACTGTACCACCCTTCTCTCCATCCATCATTCATGGAGCAGTTTCCTAGAGGTTGGGGGAGCAGCACCCTTTAGGTTGCTGGAGGTAGCCAGAGACTCAAAATTCCCTTTCATTTTGCTGTTCTGTGCATGTCAGAGAGACTTATCCAATGCTCCTTCATGATATGATGGTTTCTCTCTCCCCTCTCTCCCTTTTCTTTTTCCAGTTCCCGTTCCTCCAAAATCTGTTACTTCTTTGATGATGAACAAAGATGGCTTCCTGGGTGGAATTTCAGTCAATACTGGAGAGGTGTTTTGCTCTGTACCTGGCCGCTTGTCTTTGCTTAGTTCAACTTCAAAGTATAAAGTAACTGTAGGAGAAGTTCAAAGACGCCTTTCTCCTCCAGAGTGTCTGAATGCATCCCTTCTAGGAGGAGTACTTAGAAGGTAAGAGGCTGGAGCATGTGTGTGAATATGCCCATGTGTGGGCATCCGTGCATGCACCAGAAATATTTGGTCAACAGTAAAGATGATTGCAAGTACTCACTGATCTTATTGCCATAGTTTGTGTGTGTCACATTCAGGGTTAGGTGAAAATATGCTGTATTCAGACATTGAGATGAACATATGGAGACTAGAGAAAGATGTGGCCTAGTGAGTTTTCTATCAAAAAATCTGGAACTTGTCTCAGTTCCAGAATGAAGGAACTGAGGCAAGAAGATTTTCACTCTTGTACATGCGCACACTTTCTACCTTTTCTTCTTCTTACAGTTCTCTCTTAGAAAACTGTCAAAATAAAATGTGACGATGGCCATGTTGCAGTTAGACATTGCATGATGAACCATATGTATTTCAGGACCTGATGTATTTCTAGGACTTTCCTAGATAAATCCATGATGCTACCTTTATATGGCTATAAGGACAAGGCGATTAACATGGTGCTACACAAGACATTATTTAAATTGTCAGAGGATAAATAGGCAACCTGTAATTTATGTAAGTAGCTGACTAAAGAAAACCAGCAACCAGATAGCTTTGAAAGTCAGAAACTTAGTGCTTCATCTAGAGAAAGTTGCTAGAGGAATTATTCACAGTTGATGCTGAAGCCTTTGCTATTCAACATTTGTGCAAATCGCCCACTAATGTCCTGGTGGATTTTGCTGAAGACCTCAAAATAGTTGATGTTATTGGTACTGAGGAAAATAAAGACCAAGGGATGACCTGGAGGTCTGGATACCACTCCATCATAGCAAGTGGGAGATTGTGCATTTAGGTACCAGCAACAAGAATTACAGCTCTGAGGTCATCAGCTGGAAAAACCGGCAGAGAGAAAGGCTTTTATCTTTTTGGCAGCGTCTGAAGGGCTGTGAATTGTCAGAATTGCGTGTCTGGAAGAAAGGTGGGATAAGACTCTAAGTCCAGTCAGAACAGGCAAGAAGTCATGGCATGAGGTACCAGTTCACTTAAGCCAGTAGAAAGCTGAGAGGGGATAAGACTTCATTCTCTATGAGTGAGGTATATGCCAGACTGGAAAATAAAGCATTACTCTGAGACAGGAACAAATGCATATAAATTGACCTTGAATAGATTTCAGATCATGTTTTAAAAATTGCTAATCTTAAAGAAGAAAATAGTTTTTCCAAATCCTGCAGCAGCAATTGGGCGATGTCGACTGTAAGGTGTTTTTAAAAAGTTGTGTTTGGACTCCCTCCCCACCCACCCCGCAAAAAAAAATCCACTATGACGTCTGGAGATGTGGGGGAAAGTCCTGCCACATGCTGTCAGTCACCCAAAAATACACGTGAGAATTAGGGTCTCCTAAAATAGATGCCGTTCCACGTGAATATCTGTAATCATTGTTCAGACAGCATCTTTGCCAGTGAGAGCAGCAGAGAATTTTACTTACAGATGCCAACCTGCCTGCTCATTCTGTACAACTGCAAATGGAGCAGGGAGAACATCTGAGAGATACACTGCAGGAAATATAATTAGCAAGGTAAAGAAACATCATTATTGAACTTCAATGGATTTCTGGAGTTGGCCCAAGCCATCGTCATTGGCTGCTGCTGACTTCAGTTCCTATCTTGAATCTAAATTCTAGACAAGCTTTTGTTTCAGAGGAGGTGAAATATGGAAAGCTGCTCTCTTGTAATTCTGCCATCTAGCCCTATTTACTTTGATATAAAATAGTGGGAAGCCAGCCTGGCTTCTCTGTCGTTTCGCTAAGAGAGAGTACTGATCCTTAAATAATTTTAAGTAAGAGCTTAAAGGAGCTTAAAAGAGCTTAAAGAGGGAGAGACTCCGATTTTAGGTGCCAAAACTCTTCTTGATTTCGCAGGTGGCAAGATTTCATCCCTGGGGGTTTACATATGTATAGGCGTCCGAACAATAGCTGTGTATTTCCCACCTATAGCTCACTCATCCTTTTATTGTCGTTATCAGTAACCTCCGACAGGCATTCAAATCTTCCTCCAGGCAATCAGTTCCCTCTGTATAACGCACCGTGCCTTCAGGTGAGCTGTTCCTCTTAGCATCGCCTTTCCGCACCAGAACACACTCAGACACACAAGCGCAAAAATGGGTTAATAAATATTTTCCTCCTTTTCTATTTTATCCACAGGCTCACATATTCTCCCATTGAGCCTTCCAGATATTCCCCCGCCTCGCTCGTCTTCCAATCCAGGCTTTTTCCTGGAATAACCGAGGATTTAATTCTCCTTTTACCTTTCTGCCCATCTCCTCACTCCATCTTAATACCAGCTAGTATCATACAGAGGGAACCCATTCCCTCTCTAGATCAGAATGCTGTACGTTAATTATTGCTATCTGGCATTATTTGATTTCCCTTGATAAAATAGGGTGGAAGGTGGGTTCATCCCTACTCCCACCCCCAGTATAAATGAAGAAAATCTCAACAAACCCGAGCAGAAATCAGCGCACCCGAGGTCGAGAGGAAACCCTTCTAGGTTTCAGTGACTGCACAGACTAAATGTTTCTTCCAGGAACACCGCGGGGTTAATCACGATGTTAATTTCTTTGCAATTCTAGAGCCAAATCGAAAAACGGGGGGAGATCTTTGCGAGAAAGGCTAGAAAAAATCGGTTTGAATTTACCAGCCGGGAGGCGTAAGGCCGCAAATGTCACTTTACTCACTTCTCTGGTGGAAGGTAAGCCGGGGGTCGCAGCTTCCTTCACCCCCCTGCCTGCTCTGAACTCGTGTTTGACATCTGACGAATAAAAAACCCCCCAAAAAACAAAAAACAAAAACAACCCCCAAACCCAAGTCACTTCGGGATCAGATGGGAAAACCCTGTAGAAGTAAAATTCAGGACGGGTTAGGATGAGCACGGATAAGGATCTCATTCCCCAAAATCAACTCACAGGCTGCAGGGGCATTGGTCCCTCTTGGTGGCAAGAATGAGATTGTGTGTGTAAGTGTATGTGTGCATATATGTGATGCTGCAGGGCAGTCCCATCCCTCACTGCTATTAATTTCCAGCCTGTGCTCTCCAACTCCACATCTATTCCATCCTCCCGCTAATTCGCTCCTCCCGAGCTTGTTTATGGCCCCTACAGGACGCTCAGTGAAGGAAAAGTAATACAGAATTTATTTATTTTAAAAGAAATAAGAGGAATATCAGAGTTGCAGAGTGTTGTTTACCTTAAGGTGTCTAGAACTGAGCAAAGAGAGAAGCTGTGCCTGAGGAAGGAGAGAGGGGAGATGAGGTTGCACCTCACCTTAAATCAGCGAATGTCGTGTTGGATGTCGGCGTGTTGACTTGATTTACTGTTATGGTATTGAAAAGTAAAATCTAGAGTTACTAATATGTTTAGGATATGTAAGTGTTTATGCTAACAGAAGTTGGACCTTCTCCAAAAAACATAACCGGAATAGTATGGATGCAATTATGAATTACATGTATCTGCATTACACATACCCACCGAGAGGCGTTTAAATAATCCACTTATCTCTGCAGCATATAAGCATGCCTAAACATTTGCGCTGGATAGTAACTTTTCGACTCTTTTGATGGAGTTTTGTGAGCGATAAGACGTTTCCTCATGCAGAGAGGGTTTGCAAAAAGTCGGGTGCTGGTAGGAAAGAGCTCCCATGTAAGGCTGTGCAAAGCTCAGGTTTAGGATATAGAGTCGCTCTGGAGGAGAGGTGAAGTATCTCGGGTGCGACAACGAGGATTAGCTCAGCTTCACTCTCTTCCCTGCTTGTGTAGAGATCGGTGCATCCTTCTTCCAGCAAAATCAGCTCCTTCCCGAAGCCGGCTTGAGGTTCAGAAACCTGTGCGGTTGTAGGGTGATGCAAAAAAATATGTTAAGTGTGTAGTAAGGTGCGCATTCCCCTGATTTCTTGACAAATCAACAGTTTCTCTTGAGTGCTCCCTCCTTTTGGGAGAAGCTGGGCATGATGGAGATTTATTTTCTTTTCTTCCACTAGCCAGGCTCTAGTGTTGCTGTTATTGTATCCCGGAGAGCAGAACCGCCCCCGCCGGGGTCATGGCTAGGATGCCCAGGCGGCCCCCGGTGGGAGAGGGGGGATGGTGGTGGATGTCGGGGTGCCCAGCCTGTCAACAACGAGTCAGTGGTGAGCGATAAGCCCCGGGAAGCAGGAGATGAAGTTGGAAATCAATTCCCGATTGTTAAAAATAAGGTGGTCCTGGTGTTAGTAGACATACCTGGTTTGCGTGTTGGAAACCTTCCCCCACTGTCCCTCAGGCGGTGCTTTAGAGGGTTTAATGCTTATTCTAGAGGGGTTGAGCTATAATCTGGTGGAATCCCCCTAGAGTCTGAGGTTGTTCCCCCTTCCTCTTCTCCTTTCTGCAGCTACTGTCTTCTTCTTGTGGCATGAAGTACATCAGTAGAAGTTGGATGACACTAAATTCTGGAGGCAAGAAACCGAAACCAGACAGGCAGGAAAAGTGACAGAATTAGAACTAGAGTAATTATTCTTTTTCACAGAAAAAGGTGGCCATTGTTTTCTCTCTTTCTACCAGGATGAGTTCCTGTTGTGGAATGGTCAATTAAGAAAGCAGATTAATAGTTTCCATCGGGAGAAACTCAGTCATCTCAATCATTTTCGAGATGTGGCAATGATTGTGATGATGGTGCGAGTGCTCGTTTAAACAAGTGTGTATATAATGTTCCACAATGAATTTACATTAATACTAACTTTATGTCCACAGCTGTAAAATTTTCGACAATGATCTGCTGTATTGAATTAGGAATGGTTTCTCTGCTTTTAAGAAAAGTTTGGGTCCTTCTGTCCTTCGGGATTTAACTGATTTTCCCTCTCTTTATTTTTTTTTCCCAGTTAATTTGAAAGTGTGTGTGTGTAGGGTGAGAGGGGTGTGTGTAGGTGTGTGCGTGTGCTTTTCCCACAGTTCTGCACAATCAACCACATGGTTACACGCCATCACAATTGCACTGTAGCAAAACCAAATCTCATCAGCTGAAAAATCTGTCCCATCGTCTTATTTCAGCCCCCAACACAGGGCTTGTGGAGGGAAAACATGTACCTGGTGCCTGTCCCCAAGGCACAAGGGGTGTTAGAGGTCTGAAGGGCCGGTACCTCCCCGGGGAGCGGGGGGCAGGAGGCGGCTGCCACCGGTGCCTGACCTAATGCCCCGCTCCTTTCCTCCAGGTGAGGCCGTTCATTTAGCCCGGGATTTTGGGTACATCTGCGAAACCGAGTTCCCAGCCAAAGCTGTTTCTGAGTACTTGAACAGACAGCACACGGACCCCAGCGACCTCCACTCCAGGAAAAACATGCTGCTTGCTACAAAGTGAGTGCTAGTTAACTATCCTCTTTCTGTCCCGCCTCTCCACCAAATCCTCCCTTCCTCCTTAACCCCTTCCTCAGAGGTCGTTCTGAAAGGAGACATTTTACAGTCCTTAAGTAAGCTCCAGTCCCCAGATTACAGGGAGGAAGGATGCTTGCGTGGTCCTGTGGGCAGGGTAGACCCTATAACTCCTGCATCCATTTGCAGTGGGGTTTCTGCCAACACATCCTAGAGAAGGATATAGGTGACTATCCCTGCTCCTGCTCATAATTTCCAAACCACCGCCAGTTAAAAGATCTTTATGGAAAGGGGGCAGAAAATTTCTATTTTGCTCCCTCAGTGTGTCTGTCTGCCCCTCCTGCTGCTTACACACACCCGTTTGTCTGCTACCAAATTGCAAAGTCTTTTGCATAGGGTTTAATGAAAAATAATAAGAAGAATAATTAAAAAAAAAAAGATGAAAAATTTAAGGGCTCCCCCACTATGTACTGCTGTTGATCTTTGGTTTGATTTCCCCATTCCATGTCCCTCCCTTGGGTCTTTCTTGGTGGCTGTGCTGTATGTGATGATTTACACTTGGCTGTGCCTCCCAGGCTACTTAACTGGGTGCTTCATAATTTGCTCGAGTCCCCAGAGGTGGGTGCTATATGTCTTCACACATCTTTGTCTACCCGGCAAAAAAAAAAAAAAAAAGGCGGGGGGGGGGGGGGGAAGGAAAGAAAAAGAGAAAAAAACACACCAGGCTAAACAGCTCTCATGATGTATTTCATGCTCTGGGATGTGGCTTGCCTCCGATGACAGTGTAATTTAGAGAAATATATAGAGGGTTGAAAAATCATTTGCTCAAATTTGTCCAGATGTTTTTTAGACGTGATTGGAATTTGATTGCCCTTTTCTGCAGGGTCAGAAGATATTAATGTCCCAGAACTTTAATTGCTCACAGACCCTGCTTTGCTCTTTGAAGATGTAAAATGTTGGACTCATTACTGTTTGCTCTCCAAATTCAAAGTTTCCTCTCTTGCACTTTGTTAATGGATAATACACATAGAAGCAGACCTTTATCTTTCCACACCCTCTGAAACCTTAAACCCACTGGGAATTTCAGAGAATTTCAGAGGATGAGAACTGAACGTATTTTTTAAGGGTTTCTTTTTTTCTTTTTTCCTTTTTTTTAAAAAAAAAAAAAAAAAAAATTCTGGCCCTTTTTTCTCCAGTCCCTCGGTAGACACCTGTCTTAAAGAAATTATTCTTTTGGGAACCCCACCAGCCCTCAGGGTTTCTGCATTGCCTGGGCACCTGTTGACCTGAAGGCCTTTTGGACCAGAGCAGTGCAAAAGAAAGTGTATAGGTGGGAATTCAGTAGAAAAATCAAATCTGATTTTTCAAAGGTGCAGGCAAACAAACAAGAGCCAGATGTCAACTCTGATGTGTTAATTGGGGTGTCACCCCCCGGATATAAAACTTGACATGCTTGCTTTGCTCCTCATGCAATGAATAAGCCAGCACAGAGTCCCAGAGTCCTGATCTCTTTTGGCAAGTTGGCCCAGCCTAAGGAGGCTCGGAGGTGACTCTGTTTTAGCCCTTTCCTGCACTGTGTCCCTGTGGTATGTAGCTCTCGGTGCACAGCTGTACTTTCCTCCAAGAACAGCACTGGTGGGAGCTGCCCGGCCTCCAGGAAGATCGTGGTTGGCAGACCCATTGCACAACTCTTTTTTTTTGGTCCTAATTATTTCTAAAGCCACCAAGCAAACTGATTCAGAAGCACCCTTGAAGCAACACAGTGCTTCAGAAACATCCTTGTGGCTGTCAGGGAGAATTCTATCTCCAGACCTGATACTGTCCTGCAATTGCAGAAAGCTCTCCTGAAGAACATCATTCTGAGCAGGGAGATGCTGGCTCACTGTGGCTGGTCCCTGAGCAGTCCTAGGGCAAAGGAAGGTGACAAAAATGACCTATCCTGGGTCTTGGCATCAGCTTTTGCCTGAACCTGCTCCTTCCTTCAACCTTGGTTGTCTTGGAGAAGTGTGGGATGAGCCTAACCACCACTTTTCTCTTTTCCTTTCTTTATCTTTCTTTTTTCTGTACAGGCAACTTTGTAAAGAATTTACAGATCTCTTGGCCCAGGACAGGACACCCATTGGAAACAGCCGGCCCACCCCTATATTGGAACCGGGCATTCAGAGCTGCTTGACTCACTTCAGCCTCATCACTCACGGCTTTGGGGCCCCCGCTATCTGTGCTGCCCTCACGGCCCTTCAAAACTACCTGACTGAAGCTCTCAAAGGCATGGACAAGATGTTCTTGAACAACAACACTGCTAACAGGCACACATCTGGCGAAGGACCAGGTAGTAAAACTGGAGACAAGGAAGAGAAACACAGAAAATGAGAGAAAGGGAGAGGAAAAAATAAAGAGAAAGAAAGAAAGAAAGGAAAAGAAAAAAGTAAAATAAAAAAAAAGGAGAAAAGAGAGAGATAACCTTTTAAAACAAAACCGTCTTAATTTTAGCTTTAAAAATACTGGATTGGGCTTTGGAAGAATTCTATTAGGTAGGACAAAATAAGAATAATAATAAAAAATAATAATAATTAAAGAAAGACAATAATTTAAGATCAGAGGAGCACAATGGCGCAAGACCAGTGGTTCAGAGTCTCTTGCCAGGAACATATGAAGACAACCACCAGGATTTTTTCCCCACTTCTGTTCCTTTATAGTTTTTAAATAATGATTTGGAGGGAGGGAAGTAAAATAATAATTAATAATAATAATAAAAGAAAGAAATGAATAACTTATTGGAAGAAATTGGAGAAACATTTTTGGTGTCAGTGCTTTGATTTCTTGAGCTGCACGGTCTGTCTTGCTATTACTTTTATTTTATTCTTTTATCTTGTTTGTTGTTGTTGTTTTTCTGAACATCTTGTCTCCACCCTACCTAACATGTTCTTCCAGATCATTCCTTTCTGAGAAAACCCATAGTTTCATTCCCCTCAACTCTTCCCATCTCATCTCACCACCCTGGTTCTGTCTAGACTAGGAAAGGAAGGAAGGTGAGCGCACAGACCTCTCATGAAGCCATCTACCCCAGCCAGTTCAAGCTGCATTCATGGCAGCATCTTAAGGTTAGATGTCATTAGATGGGACATTTCAAGTCATTGTAGCTTACCGGAATTATCTAACTCTATTTTTCAAGAACTTTTTTCTTTTTCCTGGTCTAGACAGACTCTCTGTTTAGATTGCCAGCGTTTACAGGTGTGTATGGGCGCGTGTGTACCTATGTGTGTGCATGTGCATATGTATATGCACGCACATAACTTGGTAGGGATGCGTGTGTATCCTGTGTATGTTTGTATATATATATGGATATATATGGGTATATACATATATATAATATGTGTGTATAGCCACACATATTCATGCATGCAAACATACCTTTGTAACTTAGTACTTGTCTATGATGGTAAAATGCTTTGTCTACAATGCGTTGCAGAATTTGAAATTAAGGTCAGCTCTATCTGATTTCTTAATTTTCTGAGATGTCCTCTTTTTCTCTAGGGAGTTTTATATTCCTAACTATGCCAATGTTTCAGTCCTTAATTTCCTTGAGTACTGTGTGTGAGAGATATCTTCCACCCATTTTTAAAGAACTGTTAACAACAACAAAAAATGAGTGATATGAGTATGTAATTCTTTCTCAGGTGTATGCACTATTTTATTTTCTTCTGTTTCCTAAAGCTTTGCCCGCTTGGCTTATGAGCTTCTTCAAAGAGGACTAGAGATCCCTACACAATATATCAGGTACAGAGAAAAAAAATCCACAATTCTGATATTCTGATACTTTTCTTTCTTTCTTTTTTTTTTTTTTTCAAATCAAAGCCAGTTGTTTCTGAATTCTGTAGGTGCACTTCTTTAAAGAAGCTCAAAGGGAATAATTTGAATGAGATAAAAATATAAGTTGAAATCAAGGTGTAATATCACAAAGAAAATAAGAGCTGTGTCGAATGTTACCATGCTTGCTTGGCATTAGGGTTTTGCACCCAGGGAGGAATGGGTTGCCATGTGAGCTGGCTCCTCGTGATGGGAGTGGGGAGGGCTTGCCAGGGAATATCCTGATTTCTGAGCTCAGTCTGAGAAAATCTGTTTCTCTTAGAAAGCTTTAAAAAAAAAAAAGTCTTGTGACTCTTGCTTTAGAACAAGTTGGTGTGGTAGGGGAAAAAAACTTCTTACTGACAATGTTTTTCTTGGTGGTTTGGTGTCTGACAGGATGTCTTATGCATATGATTGGGGGGGTAGAGAGGGAGTCTGATTTCTTTCCCTTTTTTTTTTTTTAACATACATTTCTTTGTCTCCTATGGTAAAAATGATGCTGAAGTGTAAGGATCTGATTTTCTGTTCGGATTCTGCCACATTGGGTAATTGCATATGTGTTCCTCAGTGGGGTAGGGTTCACGCACTAACACATCTTTTTGCTTATGTCAGACAGTTACTAAGTGTGGGTAAATCTCCTGGAGTTTATGGTAAAATTCCAGTGGGGTCAGGCCTCCTCCTAGGATCCCTGTCAAAGCTGCAGGAACCAATCCCACCAGCCCAAGCAGGCACACCTGAACTCGAAACAAGGCAGACAGAGAAACAAAAGAGAAGCCTTAGCCTTGTTTTAGTTTCTACATACCTTCCAAAGTGGATGGTGGGGGACAAATAATTCAGCAGTACTCTCAACATTCCCCAACAATATTTTCTCAAAACAAAAAGGCAAATGAGCCTTTTGATTGACACTCTCAGTACCCTTAGCTACCTGAGAAATGACTACAGCTGAGGGCCTGCTCTGCTTTTCAAATCTTTGTGCAGCAAGCAAAAGTCTCTTGGCTCTTGTTCCCTACCTGTGAGTTGGGCACACATATGGCAATGGAAACCCAGGAATCCTCCAGACTCCAGGAGCCCTAACCCCTTTGGAGCTGCTCCTCATTCATCTACTTTTTGTTCTTCTGGGGCAGAGTGCTATAGGGAATCTCATGTGACAAAAGGGGGAAACTGAGGCAGACAGCCTTCTCCATGGGCTGCTGGGATGTGTTGGAAGTATTCTTCAACCCTAGCAGGTCCATGGCAGTGGGTTTCACACGTGGCATGTCCTGCGGATGTCACTGCGTAAAGTGTAGATTCCTGAGATATGTAGATCTCATGGATCCCACACTGGTAGTCTGGGGACGCCCAGACTGAAAAGCTGCTCCCAGGCAGCCTCTGGTCCTCCAAAGCCTACCCATTGCCAATCACACACAGTTTCAGCAGGATCCTGGGGAAGGATAATCCAAGCTGCTGTGCAGAGAATGCCTCAGCAGGGATGTGCTGGGAAAGAAAGGGGTATATGCATGTGTGTGTATCTGGGGAGAAATGAATGGCACCACCTGAAAGCACATCTCCCTTCTCTACCCAACCGGAATATTCTGTTTACTGAAACAGAGCACAAAGCGTTGAATGTTGCTTTGCCTGCCCTCTGCAAAAACCTTTGTGAGAAGAACGTGGGTCCAGCCACCCCAGTGGGGTATCTGGGGGTGAGGAGACCTCAGGTTAGCTCTCAGCCTTCTGCCTCCCTAGTTGTACATGCAGGGACCTGGGGACCTGCTCCATCTCAACCCAGATCTTCCAGCTGAAATCTTTGGCAGTGAGGTTGGGAATGGTCCTTCACTATCTTTTGGGTGGATGTTGGGGATGCTCTTTTTAACTGCAGAAGACAGTATCCCACCACCACTGTGGGTTAATGAGAAGAGGGACGCACTTGCAACTTCTTGTGGAAAGACCTGCACATGCATGTGTGAGCACCTGATAACGCTGCTGAAATTTGCCTTAGACACAGGTTGGTCACCTGCACCAGGACCTAAACCTTGAGAAGGCTGAGGGAAGAGTTTCACTTGACTCCTGGCAACTTTGGATTTGCCCTTTGTGCCTTCTAAACACCATTCCAAATGCCAGGCTGTGCTTTGCTCAGGTGAAATAAAGTCAAATGTAAAATCCCCATTGATTTCAGTGGGATATCCATGACTTGTCCCTCAGAGTATGCAGAAAAAACCCCACAAGGTTTCTGATTTAAATGTAAACAGGAAGAAAACATGGCATAGGAGTATATTCATCTCTGTTCTTCCCCCTAGCCTACTGCTGGTCCCTGAGGGAATTGCCCATTTCTCAGTGGCTCCTACCATTTCGAGGGGACTGAGGTCCCCTCAAAACAAAACTCAGTCTCCCACTGGAAAACATTTTCCTGCTCCCCTCCACTTTGCCAGCCCCAATACTTGTCAGGCTAGGCACCTCAGACGTTTATCTGGTAACTGAGTTATTAAAAGATTTGGTTTCCTTGGGATCATAAATCAATAAACAGGAGGATTAACACGGCAGCTTTGCTTTTTAACTCAAGGGAAATATCTGAGGAGAGACCGTGAAAAGTTTGTTTTCAAACCAAACAGGTGGGTTACTGTAAATTTTATTTCATTCTTAGTTTTTTTTTTTTTTAATAACAATTCTTTGTTTTCTGTTAGGAAGGTCTTTGTTTTTGTACTCTCCCTGACTTTTTTTTATTCGCCTGGTTGGTATTCACACAAGATGTGAAGGAAACAAGAAGCCAATTTTATGGGAATCCTTTTACAACCCGATAATTTCTTTAAGATCGGGTTGTGTCTTGTCCCACCTAATAGAAATTCTCTGTGAGAAGCTGTTTTAAGTCCCTTTGCATCCCAGACCAACCTCTCCCAAAAATCCCTAAATTTACATTTGGGATTGGGAGGGAGAGGGGGAAGGATGGTTTTAAGACCTTTAGCTATGCCCAAAGGGCTTATTGACTTCCCCTGCTCATCCCTTTCTGACCAGTTTATCACGCAGACTTATTTGGCTCTGTTTTAACATGTTTCTTGGAGAATTTGGTGCTCATTTCAGCTGCCACAAGCATTGCCAGATTGATCCGGCCAAACTCCTGCTCCCCTTCATCTTCCCTGTGTGTGAGAGGCTGTAAGCTTTTTACAAATAGTATATTTTCTTATACAAAGGGAGAAAGTAAAAGCATATATCCCCAAACACACTGGCAAATGCCTGAACATTTTGAGAGAGATGAAACATTGTGTGCTAGCAAGAAATAAAGGAAAAAAAAAACCCCAAACAAATACAAAGCTTTGAAAAAGAGAGTGAGAAACTGGAAAGATAAAAGAAAAAACTAATAATTCTCCTTTTATGCCCCAAATGATCCCTTTCACCTCCTCTTCTTGAAAAATCTGACCATGCAGTGAGAAATATCAGTTTATCGACTCTTCCTGAGAAGAAATGTGGAGAGGCATTCAGTATTGAGTTTGTATATATTTATTTATGCTTAATTTAATGGGAATGTGTAAATATGGCGAGCAAGTAGTTTTTGGGTTATTTATCTGTGAATCTATACCTCTGTGAATGGGTGGGGGAATTTAAAACAAAAAGTAAAATAAATAATTAAAAAAAAACAAAAAAGAAAAAAAACAAAACCAACAAAAAAAAAAAAAATCCCGCTTGACTAGATAGTATCCTATCTGAATCTTTTCTGTTCTTTATAGACAAGCTGTTATGGTAATGGGTAGAAATTGGTTTCTTGTCCAGTGATGACCTGATTTACATAAATAATAAGAATAAGAATAAAAGAAAAAGAGATTGTTGTGTTTTGTTGTATTTTCCTCTTCAGTTTTTTTGAATGTTGGTGCTGCTTCAATTCTGCAGACGGATTTACTTATAACACCAAGAAGTCTTTATTTTCCCAGTCTAGGCTTTGGGGAAATTCAGGACATGTCTCGACATTAAAAAAAAAAAAAAAAAAGACAAAAAAAAAGACAATAAATATTGCTTCTCAGAAATGTGGGTATTTTATTTCTATCTGACTCAAAAGTGTCCATATTTTTACCACTCTTACCTCCTCATTCTAAGCAGACCTACAATAAACCTCATGTCATGTTCATATGAACTTTTGCTTCATTTTGCTTTTACCAGCTGAATTAGGACTAAATCTTTTTCTTTTCAAAATATTAGCCATTAAAAGAACATTTTCTGTAAGATTTCAATATCAGAAAACTCTCCCCCTCTTCCTCTTCCCCCTCCTGTATTACTGTACTTTTCATTTATGTATATGTGGATGTGTGTACATACATACAGACATACACTCTTACATATATACTCTTATATACGCATTGGGAGTGATGGTCATATTCACAATGCAGGATTGTTTTCTACCTTAGTTCTACAGCTGCAGCATCAGTAATTAGCAAAAGGAAATATTCAACCCCAAACACCTTCTTCTTCCAACTCCCTTGCTCCCCCCCTTCCCCTCCATTCCCAAATCGGTTTTGTTTCGGTTTGTAATGGATGGTCCCGAAAAAGAGCTGCTTCTTCGGGATCCGAATCCCCAGGGCTGACCTGGAGCCATTCCAGAGTGACTCGGGATTTATCCTGTGGTTGGATGTAGGAAGAGGGGGGCAGATTAGGGCCTCAGGATTTATATTGTCAGTGTTCTCATATATATTTTGTATGTCTAATATGCTACATATTACTATGTATAACAGATAATAGATTATACATGAGATTTACTATACAATCTACATAATATATAATATACATTATATTATATATTATTATACACAATATTTTCCTTATATTATATTTTATATACGTATATATTTACCTGTAAATTGGAGGCTGGAGAGGACTGTAAATTTAACCCTCGGCACAGTCACCCTGAAAACAAACACCCACGTGTGGTGCTCTAACTGACAGCCCTGAGGCTGGAAACCGGTTTAAAGAATCGCTTTTACTGCCGTGAACTATTTGAGTGAAATACCCGCTCTGGAGACTTGTTTGGGTAGGGTTTTATCTGTCAGTTTTTTGGGAGAGAGGTGGTTTAAGAGGGCAGGGGGAGAGATGCAGGACCGGTAACAGGCGGTGAATCGTTTTTTACAACTTAATATTTCTCTTGGAGGGGGTGGGGACTTAACAAAATAGAAATTCATCCCCACCTCCATCTCCCAAACTACCTCCCTTCTCCCTCTCCTTCCAGCTTGGACTACGGGAGCCGTCTCAGCTGATCGCCCAAGGTGTCCAAAATAAATCATAATAATAACGATAATAAAAACCAAACCAAAACACTGCAAATGACGACCCCAAAGTCTGGTTTATGGGGAAGGTTCGTGGCTTGGCTGTCTCAGCTTCAGCCAGGCTTGGACTCAGCCGTGACCTACTTTTTCCTTGTGGTGTGTTGGCAAAAACGCCCGGAGCAAGATTGGGGGGTCCAGAATGGAGGAAGCGGGGGGGGGGGGGGGGGAGGGGAGAGGGGGGATGGTGGGGGCCAGCAGCCCCCGGGGTCCGAGCAGGGGAAAACAGAGGTGGGGCAGCAGCGGAGCTTCGAGCAAAGGAGAAAAGGGAATTCCACCCATCCCCACACCCCATTCTCCAGCCACTTCCCCTTTCCTCCTTTGTACGGGGGCTTTGCAGTGCGCGAAGTGGGGACCCCAAAGCCGCGGGCGGGTGCGGGGTTCGGGATGCCCTCGAGCGGGGAGTGCTGGGAGCACCAGCGGCACTGGAGCGGATTTCCAAAAGCCAGGCTGCATGCCAGGCTGTTTTAGTTTGTTTTGTTTCTTTTGGTTTTAATCACACTCACTCTAGGATTTTTAGTAGAGCATGTGTTTTGCATGAAACCTTCCAAAACAGCTCTTGCAGTTCCCAGCGGACTCTGAGAGGGTTTTGGGGGGCACGAGGTGGGGGTCGGGAAGGTTCTCTGTTGTCCGAGATCTGTGCAACACTTATGTATAAAGGGGATTAAAAAAAACCCTCCCAACAGACCAAACACTAAGGAAAGCTCTTGTATAACTCAGCAGAAGCACCCGCTGGTGGAACTCGAGGTCTCCCTTTAAAGTAGCACCTGACGAGAAGAGGAAGGGCTCCCCCGAGTTTCCTAGGCTCCAGGCGACAGTGTCAGGGTTGCACATTCAGAGCACATATGAATGTATACTTAGAATAGAGAGCAGGTAGCTGCTTAAGAGGCTCTCTGAGTGCCCTGCCCTTCTCCCCTCCCCCCACCCAGCGGGGCTGGAACAGAGCGTCCCGGGAGACGCTCCTGCACTTCATTACTCCACGGCAGTCCTCCCTTCTTTCCTCCCTTCTTCCTTCCTTTCTCTCTTCTGTGTTTTCTCTCTCGTCTCTCCTAGTCCTTCTCTCTTAGCTTCTTCCTTAGCTACAGTTAAATACAGACGAATAGCAGCTGTCATCAGCTCATCAGGACTTACCTACCCCACCGGTCCTATGTTAGAATCTGCTCTCCCAGCCACGACCAGCAGGGAGTTTCTCTCCTGCCTTGTCCCATTCTCTTTTTTAAACTCTAGATAGTTCAAGTTTCCATTATAAAACTTCACCGTGATTTATAAAGTCATAAACATCATTTTTGTCTTTCATCCCTTTGGGGTGAACTCCATTCTTCCTTTCTTGGTTTTACTTCTCCCCCCTCCTTTTCCCTCCCCACCTGCATGGTATGGCCCACATTTATATGAGACCTCATAAATAACATCTGGTGTCCCTATGATGGAACTAGTAAAATGTCTTAAATAATCCCAGTACCAATATATTCGTCACTGGATTCCTTTGTTTGGTCTTGTCTCTCTCGTAAACAGGCATCCACACACATTTTTCCCTGTAGATGGACGTGTGTTTGTGTGTGCACAGCTGTACCAGGACGTTGTGTTACATCTCATGTCACAACTGTGTGTAGCTTCGCCTCCCCACTCGGAGTCAGTCTCATTCACACACCACTACTGACTTTTAGGAGTGAAGGGGGAAAAGAAATTATCCTCTTTTTTCTCTTCGGAATGAAACCCTTGAAGTAGACTCCAGCTGGTGAAAAGGGCCGGTCCGGGGCAGCCATTGAAGGGCTGCCCCGATTTCCCTTCCAGCAAGTCACCCTTCTACCTCTGAATGCTCCTTAAGAGGGAGGGGAGGAGGAATAAGAAGGAAATCTCTGGAAATTTAGGAGTTAAAAGAGTCTCTATAGTCTGTCCTTACTATAAAGACAGAAAAAAGAACAAAATCTCACGCAATTACAAAATCACCGCAATTACTTTGGAGCTTCCTCTAAACAACACTAAACGAAAGGGGTGTGCATGTGTTTGCGTGTGTATTTCTCACCCGAATTTGCAGTGACAATAATCCTTTTACTCCACCTCTGCCCCAAGTCTGCTCGGAAGGGGGCAAAGGAACCCCCTGCCCCCCCTCCCCCCCGAAAAAGGAAAGGGGGGGGAGGGGGAAGGGAGGATTTAATACATGGCAATTGCAAAGCAATGTGGTACCGGGCATTATTAATACTGTTAAATAAAAAGCCTTGTGAGCGGTATCGCTGTCATCTTTTGAGAACACGCGACGAGGATGCTGCCCTCAGGTCGAGAGGAATACCTCCTTTAGAGCAGAAAACGTTTGATTCTTCCCGGTGATAAAGCAGTCCTTGTTGAGATTTACAAAGACCATTCGGTACACTTGCAATTGCAGGGATTTTTTTTTTTTTTTTTTTTTTTTCACTAGCTTAAAACGCTAAGGTGGATGAAATGCGTGTGGACTTTTCTCCTCCCTGTAAAAATCCATCAAGGTATCAGGGGGAGATCTTTTGCTTCCTGAAACCAGAGCTAACAATAGTTTATCTTAGTGCACGGAGCATCCTTTGCTCCTACAGAATTCCCGGTGATTTAAGGGAAAGCTGCCTGCAGCACTTGCCTAAAACTGTGAGCAGTGATCGGGGTGAGAGAAAGCCCCGATCTCCTATATACTCTGCTTTATTTCAGTACAGAGCAGATCCTGTTCTGGATGGGAAAAAGGGAGCCTGTTTCCAATTCTGTATAGAAAAATCACAGTACAATAACTGGCAACAATGGGAAGGGTGTGAAAAAAAATCTCAATTTTTCGGAAAAATGCTTTTCACGGAAAAAGGCTGATTTAAAAAAAAAATCTATCTCAAATTGGTGTAACTGAAGCAGGAAGGAACGAGTTGGAATATTTTAAAACGAAAAGTTCTGGATTTAATAAGAACATGCGGCGGTGAATGGGGGAGATGATTTTGTTTGATGAATAAATCTTTTACCCTGCCCCAGAGAGCCGCTGTTCGTCCTCACAAAACACTCTGAATTCAGATTGCTGAGTGAAGAAGGCTGAGAAAGTGAAGGAGATTATGGCTTAAAGCCCTCCAGTCTTCTTGTGCTGGAACCTTGCTGGAGAGTTTTCCTGCCCAGCAGCTGCCGGGGGAGGCCGGGGCGGAGCAGGGACCTCCTTTTTCCTCCTCACGCTTCAAAGGTTTCTTTAAACTTTAACTTAGGAGTGACTTGAGACGAGCGAAAGTAACTGAGCCGCGACCTTTTCAAAAATATAAAGTATTATTTTACACCCACTCCTCCCGCCCTTCCTCTGGCTTGGGAAGTCGGGGCTTGCCTGGAAAGTTGTAAATAATAATCATAACTAAATAATAATTAAAACCCCCAACAAATAAACAAAAAAATAACAAATCAAACCACCAAAAAAACCCCCACAACCCACAAGTTCGGTTACAGACAGCTTCTCTTCTGGACAAAAGGAGATAAGTATAGCAGGTTTCTCACCAGTGCAATACCCTCTACTCCTAAACCCCACACTGGGCTG